TAATGATGTCACATTACGATATTTATGCCATACAGATGTGTTTTATTTGTGACTAAGCGTGAGCATTTTTATGGCAGTTCATTATGTAAAATTTTGTAATGTCTTTTCTTGACAAATCAAGATCTGATTCTAATGAACTTATATCTCCTTCCTCTCCCTTTTGCTTCTTAAAAGCTTCACTGTGCATTACCACCCAAAGATCGACAGAAGAATTGAAAATAAAATCAATAGCAACTAGACAGTTATTTCTTGAATAAGCAGATTAAACTTACATAACCTTAAAATACTTTCACACTTTGTTTATGGATAACTATGAAAATGCTTGTAGGAAGCTGGTGGGGTTGTTTCAAGGGGAGACACTAAGTACAGAGCAGTTGTATTAACAATTTGTATTAATTTAAAATACAGCTCGTGTCTGGGTAGGGACCAAGGCCAGAATAAGCTTTCTTTGGTTGATGAAAGAAAGAAGGATACTTTGGTAATGAGAACACTAGATTTGTTTGAAAGAAATTAAAGATATGATTGGTGTTTTGGGATTCTTGGAATATATTCCTGGAAGTGGGGTCAAATGGCAGTTTTATTTTTAATTTTTTGAGCAAACTCCACACTTTTTCATAGTGGCTGCACCAGGTTGCATTCCCACCAGCAGTGTACTAGGGTTCCCCTTTCTCCACACCCTCGCCAGCACTTGTTGTTTGTTGATTTGTTGATGAAGCCATTCTGACAGGGGTGAGGTGATACCTCATTGTGGTCTGAATTTGCATTTCTCTGATGATTAGTGACATTGAATGTTTTTTCATATGTCCCTTGACCATCTGTATGTCTTCTTTGGAGAAGTGTCTATTCAGGTCCTCTGCCCATTTTTTAATTGGGCTGTTTGTCTTCCTTTTGTTGAGTTGTATGAGTACTTTATATATTTTGACAACCCCTTATCAGATGTATCCTTGGCAAATATGTTCTCCCATACAGTGGACTCCCTTTTCATTTTGATGCTGGTTTCTTTCGCTGTGCAGAAGCTTTTTAGAATCTATGTACCCCTGTGTTCATAGCAGCATTATTCATAATAGCTAAGACCTGGAAACAGCCTAAGTGCCCATCAGTAGATGAATGGATAAAAAAATTGTGGTACATTTACACAGTGGAATCCTGTGCAGCTATAAAGAAGGATCTATTGCCCTTTGAGACAGCATGGAGCGACCTGGAGAGTATTATGCTAAGCAAAATAAGCCAGTTAGAGAAAAACAAGTATCATGTGATCTCACTCACATGTGGAATCTAATGAACAAAATAAACTGATATATAAAATACAAGCAGAGGCGTGGAAATATGGAACAGATGAAGAATCTCAGAGGGAAGTGGGGGTGGGGAAGGTGGGGAAGAGATTAACCAAAGAACTCCTTTGCATATATGCATTGCCCTGGATCACAGACAACAGGGTGGTGAAGAAGGCCTGGGACAGGGGAAACCAGGTGGTGGGGGGCACAGGGGGCCAGGGACATCTGTAATACTCTCAGCAATAAAGATAAAAAAAAGAAATTAAAGATATGAATGTTCGTGAGAAGTATTTTTAGGGTGGAAAAAGGGGAGGAGATAGCATTTTTAGAATGAGGGTATAAAATAATACTATTTCGTGGAGAATTTATCTTAGATGAGTAGAGGGTGCCCACATTCTTTCCCTTTTGAGAACTATAAGTAATGAAAATCCTTTGTTTCATACAAGGAAAATATAACAGTGGTGATCCTGAGGGTGAGAGTTGGGATTAGGGCACTTTGTGATGCTGTTTCGTGCATTTCTGTGTTCTTCCAGTTTCTTTAAGCAAGTGTTATGTTTGTTATTATCTTTAAAAGTCAGGAAGTCACTGGTAGTTAAGTAGCTGATGTGTATTATAAACTCAGGGTTTTAAATATAAATGCTGGTCTCTCTTTTGGCATATGTTAATATGGAAAAAATGTATAAGAAATAAATTACTTCCACACTTTAATAGTTTACTATCTCTGAATGTTAGACTTAACTATGATGTTTGTTTCCTTTCATATAAGGCTTTGTGCATTCTGAGTATATTTTACCAACCAAGAAATACATCTTCAGAATGAAAAAAATGAAAATAATCTGGAAAGTATTTTTTAAATAAAGTTTAACAATAAATGTCTTAGCTAGAGTAGTTTGTTCATTTCTTTTCTGTAACACTTTTTAGGTTAATGAGAAGCTGCTCAGTTATTCTGTTTTATATGCCATAAATTTTCTTCCTCTGAAATGTTTGGCAGCTCCAGCAAGAAGCAGCTGCTGATTTTAAACGGGAAATCTAAACAGCGAACTTTCTAACAAACTTTGTAATACATGTCCTGCACAATTTAAAGAGCATAGCAATTTCAAAGAACAGGCAAGTTACTCTCTTTTATAGTTTAGAAAACCAAAGTCATTGAATCCCAAAGGCCTAATCTCAGTGGGTATAATTTCATGTTGTGTTACTTTGACACCCAGAGTTACTTAAGTTCTACCATCCTCAAAACCAGCCATGCTTAAGCATTTTCTCTGTGCTAGGAAACGGAATAGAACTTTTCTGGTTTTTTGAAATCCTTGGAAAATGTCAAGGATGTTTTCCATAAGGTTTGTACAGAGGTCTTTATTTACATTGTCACATCACCCTTTTCTATGACAGAAAAGAAAACAAAGCCTATTTGATTAGCATTTTTAAAAAGTTGAAGGAAAAATAACTTTTAACTGTTTATAATTTGAGGGGCATGTATTAAGGTTCTCCAGAGAAACAATCAATAGGATGTGTGTGTGGGGGGGGGGGAGAGAGAGAGAGAGAGAAATAGTGGAGGCTTGGCGAGTGGGCTGGCAGGCTGGAAACCCAGAGCCAATGGTGCAGATGAAGTCCAAAGGCATTTTGCTGCAGTTTTATTTTGCTTGGGGAAGCGTATCTTTTTGTTCTATGTAGGCCCTCAACTGATTGGATGAGGCCCACTCATCCAGTGGAGGGCAATCTGCGTTACCCAGAGTTAGTTCACCAATTTAAATGTTTGTGTCAGCCAAAAACACACTCAAAGGTGACACATTCACTATTATAGGGAATATTTTAATATTGCCGAAATTTAAATGTTTTTTTCCTGCTGAGTTGTTTTTATTCAGTACTGCCCTTAAACCTTGAAGGTCCTGCTTTGAGTCCTGCTTTTTAGAGGATCCTGCTTTGGCTCTCATTCAATCATGTCTCTCCCCACAGGGTAAGACCAAGTGACCAAAGTTGTACCCTCACTTGGAGCCCAAGTTTCCCATTCTAGACCATCTTCTGGCCACTCAGGACCCTGGAATTCTTTCCCCAGACAGCTGCAGGCCCGTTTCCAGGTCCTTCATGGGCATCTGCCCAAATTCACGCTCATTACTATGTGGACTGCGTGCTCACTGTTACTTGTGCAGGGCCTGGGGGTGGCCATTTGCAGGGAGGGGCTGCATAGATGTGTGGGCTGGAATTTCCACCTTTGTGCAGGTGACGCCTCCCAGTGCAGAAAGGAGCCTGGGATAGGAGGAGCTGTTGGACAGGATAAGGGCCCTGTGCCATCTTTACTCTGCCATCCTCAGGCAGTCTCTGAGGCATCCAGAATGCTTAAGGAGAGCTTCCAAGTCATTACAAAGGTATATTTACAGGATAGTGGGATGAAACATACTTTATATTCTAGTCATCACTTTGTTAGCTTGATTTTAACTTTTAAATATTCAAATATATGGTATGTGGTCTTTCATTTCTACCTTTGCCCCAGACCTAAGGTGTCAAAGGCAGAACTTCCCTATTGAGGATGAGCAAATTCAGAGAATTAGAAGTTAATTATTAAGTTTGAAATCTGAAAAGTGTGTTACAAAGTCAGGTAGAGGCTATTGCTGGGGAGATGAGCTTATGATTGGGGAAGAGCCTGTCACATTTCATTTCTTGAGTTTGGTGGTGATTATGTAGATGTTTATTCTAAGTCCTCTTGGGCTTTGTGCATTTCTGTGTATGGAAAATGGATCTTCCAATAAAATGTTTTTAAAAATATACTTTCAAAAATGTACTCTTAGTTAGAAAAAATTTATACCTCAAGGAAACTCTTCTTTTAAACTCGTTCACCACAGATTGTATTACATTTTCTCTAAGAATCTTGGCCCAGTCATCAAAATAAACAAAATTATCTTAAAACTTCTACAAAGCAGTTAAATAAATTATATACACGGTGTCCCAAAAAATGTATATAAAGTCAGTGTTTATTAACTTACAGTTCATTTTCAAAATATAAAAGAATGAATACAGCAATGAATAATTTTTTTTTGTCAATGCCTATTTTCAAACTGATGACCCTTCTGGTTCAGGCACTGCTGACAATGAAGCAGTACACTCACACACATCAAGAATCATTTTGTTTGGTATTTGTATGCCCTCAATTCGCTGACTATTGCCAGTTTTGTACCATAAACTTTATCTTTTATGTATCCCCATTAAAAAAAGTCTAATGGCACTTTAGGATAAATTGTCTTTGTTCAAAGCTTAGTCTGGCTTCACCCATTATTTCAAATCACTTAAACCTGAAAAGGGTGAAAATTAAGTGAGTTATCATCTGTTAAAGTGTGTATACATTTTGGAGTAACACCCTGTAGTTTGTATGTGTGTCTCTGTGTGTGTACACGCATAGGCATGCACATACTTATGAATGTGTGTGTGTGATTTTTGTTCTCAGGACCTCAGCCAAAGAAGCAGCTGAAAGAAAACCTCTCTCATTCTCACAAGTTCCCATGGGTTAATGAGAGAAGATATTTTCAAACATGCTGTTTTTATTTGACTCTAAGTCTGTGGTTTGTTTATCTGAAAGAATGAGCAATGATAATAAAGGCAAAAGGAATATTTATTTTTTTCAGGTTAGAGAACCATTGTGTGTGAACTTGGTTCTATAAATTTATGAAAAAGACTTTGGATACAGTTTCTACACCTAAAAATTCATTGTAATGGGGACTCTCTGTTCTTATCTTTCAGATTCCATCATCAGTAAGTAAAGAAAACCATGAAGAAGGTATGGTATGTTTGGGTTCTTGAGACGCTAGATGTGGAAATTTATTAATTTCCAATTAGTGGAAACCAAAAAAGTACAATAGATTAATTTAAACTATAATTTATATAATTTAATTATATAAACTAAGGAAAATACTTTTTTAAATAGTCATTAAAATTTCAGAAAATGAGAAAGAGTACATTTATTACTTTTAGACAAGAAAACAATTGATTATTTAGTGACTTTTTTTGGTGAAGTAGAGATATTCCAGCTAGTGCTGATAAACTTTAAAAGACTCGAAATATCTGACTTGAGAGATTGTCTTTATTATCTTTCATCATTTAAATTATTTTAACTGAAGATCTTAAAAATCAAAATGTGTAGTGCAATTAAAAATGCCATATTTTTTATTATCGTTATATTTGAAGCTGTTTTGAGAAACAAGTAAAAGTGTTCTGTGGTAAAAATTTCAGAATACAAACATATGCAGGTATCATTTGTCTTTCAATATTTGGCAAGCCCTTTGGCCTTTTGCTTTAATATAAAACATTAGAAGAATATTGAGCTTGCAGATTTGGGTGGGGGGGAACCCAAGAACTATTTACTGTGAGTCCAGTTCTGGGATGTTTAGAAAGGAGCGAATCCATAGACATAATTTCATGGGGAAGCAAGCTCCATTCCTTATATGGGAAGCTAACCCACTGTTTCTTTGTAATGCTATCCCATTTTGGATGTTTGACAGGAAGTCAAATTTTACAGTGCAAGGTTCTTTTAGACTTTTCGTGCTGCAGCTAGAAAACTTCTGTGTATTCAGTGGAGACTAAAATGACCCAGAAAGAAGTAGGAAATAAAGTGGGAAGGCTCTAGAGTTGTTAATGTAGTTTTATATAAGACTTGATCTCCATGAGAGAACTGAAGACAAGAGGTTAAATAGAGAAATGAGTCATGCTGAGCTCCTCAGTTGTTTCTGTCTGCCTACATGCTTCCTAAAGGTCTAAATTAAATCTGTCTTATTCTTCCTCCCTCTCTTCCTCGTCACCCCTTCCCTCACTCCCTTTTTCTCCCATTTTAGATGCAGAGCAAGTGTGGCACTTCCTTGGCAAGTGATGGGGACATGTGAAGTTCAGCCTTCAAGATTCCGTCTCTGAGGGCTTCCAGATTCTGTCTCCTGAGTGCCAGAGCAAGGCAGATCCATGAGAATTCGCTGACTTTCTGTTGAAACTTCATTTTTTTTCTTGAAACTTTCTGAGATATACACTATGTAAATAAACACTGGTTTTGAATTAGTCTCCTCCAGATATTTATTGATAAAAAGATTTCATTTAATTTTCTAGCAGAAATTTAGAGGCATTGAGTTTTGACCATTTTAAATTTCAATGCCTGAAGAAGCCCAGAGATTTTATTGGCATTTATTTCTATAAATGCTCATGTAAAAATTACAAATTTAGTACGTTAAGACTTCTATAGATATTATTGTTTTCATTTTCATACCTTAATATCTCTTTTTCAAGCCCATTGCAGGTGGAGACTTCATTTAGCCAGCCTCTGTCCACTTATTAGTCCTGTGTAACTGTGTTTACATTTTAAGGCTCATTCCCATAATTTACTGTTTTATTGGTCCTAAACTCTTTTTGAATCTCACCCATTTTCCTTAGTTTCAGTTCTCATCTCTATGGTGATGACTCCCAAAGCTAAATAAGAAGCCAGTGTCTCTCTCCTGGGGTCTGCCTATTGGACATCGCTATAAACGCCTTTGACCCCTCTGCTTCAGAACTGACCTCATATTAATCCCTTTGTTCTTTTTAATTCCTTTGTTCTTTTTTTAAAAAAAAATACGTCTTTATTGATTTCAGAGGAAAGGAGAGAGAGAGAGAGAAACATCAATGATGAGAGAGTCATTGATCAGCTGCCTCCTGCACGCCCCCGACTGGGGATCGAGCCCACAACCCGGGCATGGGCCCTGACCGGGAATCGAACCCTGATCGCCTGGATCCTAGGTCGATGCTCAACCGCTGAGCCACGCCCAGCCAGGCTACTTTGTTCTTGGAACAATGGAATTAACATTCTTTTAGTTCCCCACTCAAACCCTTAATATAATATTGAACCTCTCTTCTATCTTTACTCATGAAGATCATCTAAATGTTTATCATCTCCATTCCTTCACAGTCCTTCTTTGCTGATTGTCCCCCTTATTTCGCGGGGACTGTTATAACAGCCTCTTCGTGCCTTTCTGATCCGGCCCCTCTGCCTCGTCCCCAGTTGTTCTAACTCAATTTCATACTCTCTGCCTCCTAACTAAGTCCTGCCTCTGGCTTTTCTCCCTCCAGACATACCATCTTCCACATTTCCTGAACGGTGGTTTTCCTAAAGCTTGTCTCATATTGTTCTCAGGATGTCTTCAGTGACTTTTCATATTCTTGAGGAAGAACCCATATTGACTTCCTCAGGAGCCCCACCCCCCAGCCTTGCCATTCTGCTCCTCTTCACACACCTTGTACACTCACGCCCCAGTACTGTGCTCTCCTCTTGCCAATTCTGTTCATACAGTTTTCTTCCCTTTTTGTTCTATTATCATCATCAATGCATGATATTTACATAATATGCTTTGTGGTTTACAGAGCACTATTATGATAATAGCATTTCTTGAGCATCTGTTCTATATTAGGAACTGCTGTAGATGTCTGTGCAAATACCATATGCCCCGCTTCATATTAGGGCTCTGAGAAATTCTGTAATTTGCCCAAGTTTGAGAGCCAGAATTAGAACTCATGACTATGTGGCTCTAAACCCATTGGTCCTTCCACTTCCATACGTGTGCTGCTTTCCCATACAGTTCCTTTTGATGTAGGCAAAGCTCAGAGCTTGCCTGCCTGTTTTACAGAAGAGAAGACAGGCACAGGGGGTGTGATTAGCCCAAGTGAAGCAGCAAGGTCCACCTGAAATGTCTGGGAATGTGGGAACCTCTTTGAGGGACATCAAAGAATGTAAGGAGAGAATTTATTGGTTTTAATTTTATTGATATATTGATATGTTCATCATTTTTATGGTGAAAATAGAACTTACAGAAAGACAGAAAATGAGGAACAACTGTTATTTCAATAGTTGTAAACAAGCTGAATTACCAAAGGTTATATTAGTGGGCTTGTGGCATGTGGCGTATTAGTGTCCTAAAAGTTGGAAGAGAGAAGCCGTGTCTGGTGGGCCTCTTCATATCAGGTGCAACGATGCATCTGTTAGTCATATCCCAAATCCTGGTGCACCTGAGAGGAAAGCTGTCGATGCTTCCTCTTTATTCAGAACACAATACATAGGGCTCTTTCCCCCCGTTTAAGTGCCTGGTTGCAAAGGATTGAATCACAGAAATAGTAGGGGGGTTTGATTATATCAGTCTACATCTCATAATTTTAATTGGCCAACCCTTTGTTTAGACATGCTTTCTCAAGGCTATTTTAAAATGCATTTATTCAACAATTACTTATTGACTGTCTATATATACACTAAGTCCTCACTTAATGTTGTCAGTAGGTTCTGCAATGATGTATAACAAAATCAGTGTTACTGTAGGCTAATTGATAGAAATTAGTTCCTTCATCGTCTCATCAGTGTTAAAACAAAACAATGCTGAACAAAACATTCATTGAAGTCCTGCTGTATCAGATACCATTCCAAGTTTTTAGGATACATCTCTGTAATACAAACATCCCTGCCGGTGTGGACCTTGCATTTGTGTGGGGAAAACAGATCATAAACATAATAACTAGCTTACATAGTATGTAGAAGAGAGAGAACGGATAAGGGGGGTCAGCAATCCAGCCTGTGTTCGGGGGTAGGAGTATGAGTTGCAATTTTAAACTGAGTAGGTCAGAGCGGGCCTCGTTGGGAAGATGACAGCCCAGCAGAGGTTGAAGAGAAGCTGGAGCGGGCCCACGTGGGTCTGCGGAAGAGAACCGAGGCAGAGGAAACTCCAAGAACGAAGGCCCTAAGGCCGAAGCGTGACCCACTTGTTAGAGGAAAAGTAAGGAGGCCCTGTGGCTGGAAGGGAAGGAGTGGGAGAGGAGTGACAGATGGGATCCCAGAGGTGGCAAGGAGATCACATAGGGCCTTGTGGGCCAACATAAGGACTTGGCCTTTTACCCTGATAAAATGAGCCATTGGAGGGTCCTGAGCAGAAAAGTGTGGGTCACTCCAACTGCAATGTTGAAAACATACTGGGCTGGGGTGGGGGAACCTATAGGGGAAGGATGGAAACAAGTGCACTGAGGAGGTTTCTACAGTAATCTAATAAATTTGCTGTTTTTCCTTGGAGATCATTTTCTTAGTATAAATTCCCTAAGGTGGAGTCAAAGAGTAAGAACATTGTATGGCCAAATAGACTTTCATAAGGGTTATTCCAAGTTACGTTGCCACCAGCAGTACATGAGATTTTTAGGATAGGATATTGTCACTTATTAATAGGTTTAAATTTGTTCCTATGCATTTACTAATTATATTGTTTTTTATGATTGTTCTGTTTATTTGCCTATTTTTCTACTGAATCTTAATGTGTTTATTAACCTATATGACATAGTCAGTTTTGGGTAGAAAATTTGGATTCTGAATACTGAAACCAAGTTGAAAGATATTAGTCCACATTCAAGTAAAAAAATCTAGACAAGGGCTTTGGAAATGTTTATACTCAGTTAACTGGGAATCGGAGTGAAATACACTAATTTTTCTTTCGATAGGACTAGCTACAGGAATATCCTTATTATGTTACTGCTACCTGGTCTCTGTTAAAAGTTAGAAATGAAAAGAAAGATAACTTTTAAAGCTAATATCTACATTTAAAATGGATAAAATGGTAAAACCAGTAGTTTTAAAAGAAATCATGAAAGAGTGTCAAACAACAAGTCTTACCCAATTAAGGCAGCTAATTCTGGTGGCAGCTGTGCCTCTGTGGTCTCGACCTGGAGAACTGGGCAGTCGGCAAGGTCAGGGATTACGGTTCTACAGCGAGGTTTCCCTGCATTTGGGGCTTAGAACGTGAATAGTAGGGTTCAGACCAGAATCTCAGAATCAGGAGAACCTTTAGCCACAGGTAGACAAAAAGCTGAGCTCCCAGGGAAATCAGCAAGTAGCCTTCGCTGTTCCCTCCTGTCCAAACCAACAGCACCGGGCAAGGACACCAGCCCGGGCCCTTTGTGTGCAGGAGGCTCCCCCGAGCTTCCCCTGAGTGGAGCAGGCAGAGCAGAGCTTGGGCTGTTGACTCCAGCGCTGCCTGCTGCCCTTCGCACATGTTGCTGCTTGAGCTCGTGTTTATCCTCAAAGCCCATCTCAGGTGCTGCCTTTCCTGCGAAAACTTCCCCAGTCCTTCATGTTGAAATCGACCACTTTCTCCAGTGTGAGAGAATAGAACTATTAATTTTCATTTAATTTTTTAATTTTTTTATTTTTTAAAAAATATATCTTTATTGATTTCAGAGAGAGGAAAGGAGAGGGAGAGAGAGAGATAGAAACATCAATGATGAGTCATTGATCGAGCCCGCAACCCGGGCATGTGCCCTGACCGAGAATCGAACCCGGATCGCCTGGATCCCAGGTCGACGCTCAACCGCTGAGCCACGCCCGGCCGAGCAGTACTATTAATTTTTAGCTCTATTGCAGTATTTAGGTCATTCTGGGTTATATTAGAATTGCTCAGTGTCTCCACTACTGGGTCATAAACTCACTGAGATCAGTGACTGTCATGAAAATTTGGTGGTATTTTGTTACACATTAACAATTCATGTTCATTGTAAGAAATTGATACAGAATCCTGCGAGGAAGACAGATGTTCTTTCCATTTTACTTATTATATTAAGTAAAGTTTAGAGCGCTTAAGTGGATTCCTGGAAATCACAGGCCTTCTGCATCTGCAGTTCTATTACTGCGTTTTGAGGGATGTCGTTCTGCTCTGTTCCAAAAGCCCATGTAAGATCTTTGAAATATAAGAATCTAGCCCTCTCAGGGATCTCTGAAAGAGGAGATTTAATACCCAACCTAAATACTTGTGCTTTTAATTTATTTTGTTTTTAATGTGTACTCAGCTCATAAATCTCAAGGTAAAAATAAGTAATTTCTTTTTTTCTAAGATGTGTAATTCTTGCCTCCTAAAATTCTACTCATCATTGGGATTTCTTTTAAAATCCTTTCTAAATTATTTTATTATCTTCTTTACTATGGAGTCGCAAATGAATAAACATTTGCCTAGTGAAAACAAAAGACACTTCATTTTTTATGCATTCTGTATACCTAGGATATTTTTGCT